TTATTGGTGGGAGCAATTAGGGAGGGGAGAATACAAAGGGCCAATTTATAAGTTTACATAATAGTATTTTTAAGGAGAAAATACTTGAGTTTTAGAAATCTTCCTCCTATATTTTGTTTTCTGGTTCCTGAGTCCCTAAATTTTTTTTTAACAGTAGTTAAGTAATATTTTAAAACAAGCATAGCTTGTTTCCACTTTGACTCCAAAGTCTAGATTTTATCTCAGCCTGCTGCTGGGGTGGAGGACTTGATGTGCCTTTTGTTCTGTCATGTTTTCATCTGAACAACAGACCTGCATAGCAGTTGATCGCCCAGTGTCAATGCCGAATGGAGACTGTAGAAGTTGATACATTCATATAGGAACTACGAGATTCCGATCTGTTTTCCTTCTCTGTGTATGAAGTTCCCTGTCAGCATTCCGACCTTCGACCTTCGCAGAGAAGCCCTGGTCAGCTGCCCTGGTCATCACCTTCATGCAGAGGTGAGGCCGCAGGTGTTGGGGCTGAGATTGGGGGCCATGTTGACTGCTTCTTTCCACATTCCTCAAGGGGTCACACATGGACCCACACCCACAAAGTGTGTTTTGGAAAGTTACTTTGCAAAACTAGATTGAATGCAGGGAATGACACCCATTTCTAAGCTAAAAGTCAAGATGTTTTTGCTTGAATTTAACTGAACCTTCTTTTGTTCAAATCCAAACCCCACAATGCTTGGTAGGACACAGATTTCCTGAGTGACCCAGCACCATTAGTAATGGGCACTTGGTCCTTTGTATTCTGTTTTTGTCAAGTGTGTAAAAACAACTTCTGTTCATCTGCAAAGCACCAGAATGGAGAGGTATGCAGATTGGATGCCACAGTTTCTGAAACTGCCATGGCCCCCATGTTCAAAGAGTGGTGTGGGTGTGTGTAGGAAATAAGGGTAGGAAGCTGCAAAAAAACCCCCACAATTCTTCATGCTTTGTTGATCCTCCTCTACGAAACTTCACCAAAAATAACAGAGGAATCATGTAGTATTTCAAGAGGCATTTATTCCCCCTCCCCCTTTATTCTTAGAAGACATTCCTCAGGGCTGTTTTTGTTTTAGTCCCGAGGAGACAGCTTGGCTGCATCATGATAGAGGGAATCTTCACGAGCAGGTGTTGCAATCAAATAACAATTACAACAAAGGATGCTCTGACAGATATTCACGACCTGGCAAATACTTGCAGTCTGCACAGTGATTAGCTAGAAATGCTAAGCAGCCATTCCCAGAAATGACTGTAATTAGTAATCTTTTAACACAGCTAAACCAATTTCAGTGTCTTTTCCTAGAAGTTCTCTAGAATCTATAATAGAATATGGTGAGCATTCCCCAGACAATACGTTCAATCTAATTCTCCCACAAAGAGTCCCCTTCCTTGTTTCTCTTTCCCAGACACGCCCCCCCCTTCCCTTCTGTCTCCTGTCTCCACCCATTTCTCTCCTGCAGGCAATCCAGCCCAGACACTACTTTCCATGCTTAACTTTTCTCTTTATCATTAAAAGAGAAAAATGTTGCATCTGACTCTCTCCCCACAACCAAGTGGTCACAGTTCCATGTGCCCACAAGTCTCCCTGGCTTCTTCTATTTATTTATTTATTTATTTTTATTTTTGTTAATCCTTACCTGAGGATATTTTTTCACTGATTTTTAGAGAGTTGAAGCAAGGAGAAGAGACACACAGAGAGAAACATCATTGTGAGAGAGACACATTGATTGGTTGCCTCCTGTACACATCCCAACCAGGGCCAGGGATTGAGCCTGCAGCCGAGGTACATGCCCTTGACAGGAACTGAACCTGAATTGGTGACCCTTCTGTCCACAGACTGATGCTCTATCCACTGAGCTAAACTTGCTAGGGCTTCTTAAAGTCATGCTGAGCTTCTCTCTGGGAGCCCTAATGCAGCAGAAGGGGCCAATCAGTCAACTCGTATTCCTCCCGAACCCCACTGAGGCCAGCCAATGGTCAGGTGAAGGAGCCTGAGATGACTCCTTTAGGGAGCTCAGCGTCACCTTAAGAAAGATGACATGTGCCTTTCTTATGCATGAGACTGGATTCCTAGAGTATCCTGGTCATCTCAATGTCCCCTGTGTTTATCACATAAGGCACAATTCAACTGAGGCTTAACCAAATGAATGGTCACACATTTTAATGGGATATTGTAGAGTCTGGGCCATTAAAAGGGGGGGGGAGTGCCAACATTTTAATGAGAAAATGCATGGGAGACATGGGGGTAGCTGCATCCCTGCTCTAATTCCCCCTTCCTTTGTATGGAGGACAGGGAGGCAGAAAAACAGCCCCTGTCCCACTCAGCTCTTTTTGGTGACCGAAGAATGATTTACTTTAGGATCCCAGGAATGATTCTCAAATCTGAAGAGGTTCTGTAATGTTCAGGCTACTGAGAATGGAGTTGGGCCTATGAAGGTCTGGTGCTACCTGGGTAAGGGGCTCTCAGGCCAGACCTGTTCAGGGATCTAGACAATTAGCATGGGCTAGAACACTTACATTATTTCCATTCCGTTCCTTACTCTCCCTTCTTCCCTCCCTTCTTCCTTCCTCCCTTCTTTAAATGTTCATCTATTTTATTCACAGATAATAACTGAATGGTCACTGTGTGATAAACATTGTGGTAGGTGATGGGATAAAATGATGAGGTGTGGGAGGTTGGACAGGATGGATAGAGAGAGCACTTTTTAATAACTTTAAAGGAACTTTCTGTAAAACTTTGACATGAAAAAAAATGAAGGTGAAGCCTTACCTTACACAATGCTCAAAAATGAACTCAAAATGGGTCAAAGACCTAAATGTATGGACTAAAATTATAAAACTCTTTGAAGAAAACAGGAAAATCTTCATAAGAATAAATTTGGCAATGATTTCTTGCATATGACACCAAAAGCACAGGCAAGAAAAGAAAAAATTGATAAATTGGACTATATCAAAATAAAACTTTGCACATTAAAGGACACTGTCAAAACAGTAAAAAGGCAACCTATAGAATGGGAGAATATTTTCAAATAATAAATCTTTTAAGGGGTTATTATCCAGAATATGTAAAGAACTCCTACAACTGAACAACAAAACCCCTAAACACTCCAATTTAAAAATGGGCAAAGGACTTGAATGGACATTTCTCTAAAGAAGATACTCAAATGGCCAATAAGCACATGAAAAGATGCTCAACATCACTAATCATTAGAGAAATGCAAATCAAAACCATAATGAGATACCACTTCATCATATCCATTCAGATGGCGGTTATCAAAAACCAAAAAATATGTGTTAGCAAGAATGTGGTGCCATAACCGGTTTGGCTCAGTAAATAGAGCGTCAGCCTGCGGACTGAAAGGTCCCAGGTTCGATTCCGGTCAAGGGCATGTACCTTGGTTACGGGCACATCCCCAGTAGGAGGTGTGCAGGAGGCAGCTTATGATGTTTCTCTTTCATCGATGTTTCTAACTCTCTATCTCTCTCCCTTCCTCTCTGTAAAAAATCATATTAAAAAAAAAAGAATGTGGAGAAACTGGAATCTCTCTGCTCTGCTGGTGGGAATGCAAAATGGCACAGCTGCTATGGAAAACAGTATGGCAGAGAAAGAAGGAAGGAAGGAAGGAAGGAAGGAAGGAAGGAAGGAAGGAAGGAAGGAAGGAAGGAAGGAAGGAAGGAAGGAAGAAGAAAGAAAGAAAGAAAGAAAGAAAGAAAGAAAGAAAGAAAGAAAGAAAGAAAGGAGGGAGGGGGGGGAGGGAGGGAGGGAGGGACCATATAACCTAGCTATTCCACTTCTGGACATACACCCAAAACAATTAAAAGAAGGGACTGAGCCCTAACTGGTTTGGCTCAGTGGATAGAGCGTTGGCCTGCGGACTGAAGGGTCCCAGGTTTGATTCCAGTCAAGGGCATGTACCTTGGTTGTGGGCATATCCCTAGTAGGGGCTGTGCAAGAGGCAGCTGATCGATGTTTCTCTCTCATCGATGTTTCTAACTCTCTGTCCCCCTCCCTTCCTCTCTGTAAAAAAATCAATAAAACATATTTTTTTTAAAAAAGAGAAGGGACTCAGATATTTGTACACCCATATTCATAGCAGCCTATTCACACTAGTCTTTTGGTGGAAACAATCCAAGTGTCCATTGACAGATGAATGGGTAACCAAAATGTGGCATATGTGTATAATGAAATATTATGCAGCCTTAAAAAGAAAATTTTGACACATAGTACAGCATGGGCATACCATGAATACAACACGAATAAACCATGAAAACATGGATAAACCATAGTACAACATAGATATACCATAAATACATTCATGGAAAACCATGAATACATACTATGTGAATAACCAGAAATAAAAGGACAAATATTGTATGGTTCCATTTATATGAGGTACCTCGAGTAGTCAAATCCAGAGGCAGAATGTAGAAAAATGATTACCAGGGGCTGAAGGGAGAGGGGAATGGGGAGCTAGCGTTTGCTGGGTATAGAGTTTCAGTTTTATAGATGAAAAGAGTTCTGGAGATGAATGGTGGGTGATGTTTGCACAATGTAAATGTACTTAAATTAATGCCACCAAACTGGATCCTTAAAGTGGTTAGGATGATAAATTTTATATTATGTCTATTTTACCACAGTCTATAATAATAATAAGAGTAATATGCTAATTAGACCAGACGTCCTTCCGGACGACCTTCTGGACAAAGTTGGGGCTATGAAGGAAGCCCGGGTCCCAGGTGCCAGAAGGAAGCTGGTGCTGGCAGCCGGGGGAAGGAAGGCCTACTCTTGTATGAATTTCGTGCATCGGGCCTCTAGTTAATAATAAAGAGACAATAGTATAATTGCTCCCAAGAGATATGCTCTATGAAACTATCAGTGTTCTTACACCCATGCCAATGACCAACATTTAAAAAACACAAGTTGATCAAATAATTCCAATTAAAAATGATCTTTTGAAATAAGAAACATGGCTCCATTAATCATTCTTCCTTTTTAGTATCTTCTGCCTAATATTTTTCACCAACAAAATAAGGCATTTTTCTTTAGGGTCTATAGTTTTCTTCTAAAATAATAAAAGCTGTCTTCCAGTCTTCTGATGACTCAATTTCCTTTTCTTCTTAGATATTCCCCTGAAAGAAGCAGAACATGGTTATTATCTGTGAGCAGCAAATTATCACAATATGATTCATTCATTCATTCATTTATTTATTCCATAAACATTGGTGAGATGCTAGGCACTGTGCTAGGTACTAGAGATACAAGGATGACTGATAGGACCCAGTTCCTCAAGGACTTCCATTATCTAGCTGGGGAGATAGAGCTATAAAAACATCAATTATATTTCTAGAATCTTCAACAATAAAAAAATTTTAAATAGTCATAATTCTTTACTCCCCAAATTTTCTATAAAGATCATGTATAATTTTGTATAGAGAAAATATAATTTAAAAAACAAGTGAAGGAAATAGAAGTAATGAGACATGTAACTGGCTCTTGAGTGGGTATCAGCTTTATCCATCCTTCACAAGCATTCAACCACTTCCCAAGACAACCCATCCCTTTCCAGAGCAGTGATCTTAGTGGCAAGATGTCAGCTGCCTCCTTCTAACTAGTACACATTTTTTGGATGTGTGTGTGTGTGTGTGTGTGTGTGTGTGTGTGTGTGTGTCTAGGCAAGAATATATAATTTCTAATAAAAAAATTTTAAAAGATCTTCATCCTACAAAATATACCTTCTTTAAATTGAGGTCAATCTTTTAATTGTGTCAGTCCATTACAGTTTGATTCTTCCAGTAGTTTTAATGGCCTATCCTTGAAGCATGTTCACTTCAGTGATGTGCTTTGTTAGTGATGCAACATTATTGTCATAGGCCTTCTAAAGCCTTAAAGGTCTAGCAGATTTGGTCCATATATTATTTGTCATGATTTCTCAGTGCCATTTTTGTGTGATATGCATACACAATAGGAGTATTAAAAATTTGAGAATCTAAAAAAAGGGGGGGGGGGATATACAGTTTCTGTGATGTCACCTAATTCCTCAATTAATTCTTTAAGACTCAGCTCTCTGGAGCACCGGTTGGCGACCGCTGCTCTGGAGCCTTCCCTGATTCTGTTAGGTGGGGATCATTCATTTATTTGTTCATCAAACATGTATTAATCGACTACTCAACATTTGACACCATCTCAGGTACTGGAGAGAGGAGAATGATTACGACACAATTCTTGCCTTCTAGGGGCACACAGTCTAGGTAAACAAAGAAACAATGGCAGTAATAATAAAGGTCTGCATAAGCTACATAGCACAGTGGAGAGATGCCTAAGATCTCACATGGGTCTTCAATAATGATTGTTAGGAATTTGCCAGCTGGATGTGAAGGGTCAGGAACAGAAAAGAAGGGCATTTCAGGAAGATAGGGCAGCATGTACAGAGGCACAGAAGGCAGAGACTATACCATGACCAGCTGTGCTTTCCTAGTTTATCAGGATGGTGCAATGCACATAGCAGACCACTGAGTATTTGTCGAAAGAATGCTTTCCTTACTAGTAGAAGTAGAGGCTTCTACTATTTCAAAAGAATGCTCAAGCAACTCCAAAAATTGCTAGACATTTCAATTTACGTTAAAATCTAAACACAATTTATTACGCTCAACTCTCATAGATATAATTTCCCAGTTCTACATTAGATCTGTATTCAAAAATGTATAGACATGGAAGGAGATTACAGTAGATACCAACAAGCTGCCTGCCAGACTCACAGTAATTTCCTTTTCGGTAAAAGGTCCCTTCATAGGATGGGCCCCCGGCAGCTATATCTCTTTTTTTTTTTAACCCATGCCTCTCTCCTCCTGAATAATATAAGGGAAAACCATCTGATCCAAGACTGGTCAAATCAGGGTCTTAAAAGAAATGAAGAAAATGAGGCTTGACCATGATACAATCCAGGAAAGGAGGCAGATCAAGCCAGGGAAGGAGGGACAGAATGAACCTGACCCTCTCAGGAGAGACCAGAGGAAAGTTCTAGTAGCGTTCCCATCCCTGGAATCTGTTCCCTGTTCCTGGATTCATCCTTCCAGTGGTTCTAGAAGTATCCTCAGTCTCCTTCCAATCAATTCCTACTTTCTGTCCCAGCTGACTTGGCCTCTGTCACTTGCAGTCAGAAGACTCGACTACCATAGGGAGCAAAGACAGGCACTGGGAGACACACTTACCCAGCTTCTCTGTGGCTTCCACACAGACACTGGGATACATGCCCTCAGTGTAAGTCGCCACCAGAAGATACAGACCGGTCTTCACGACAATCACACCAGTGTTTTCCTGGGTGAGAATAAAATTAAATGTCCTACTTTTGTTTCTAATCACAGGACTAGCAGTTACACTCCAGCCATATTTTTCACCATTTCCTGACTTCCATATATCATTCATACATTTGTTTTTGGACTCTCTACTCTGCTCCACTAAGTTACTCAAAGAGTTTAAGACTGTTGTAATAACAGCATGGGTATTTTGAAAAAGTCCCCCAATTGATTGTAATATATCCCTATCCCAATGAGAAAGGTGACACTTTGGAGCTGGACAGCTCTGGCTTGAATCCCAGCACGTCCATTTTCTGCTGCATGACCATGAAAGAGTCATCTAACCTTGCTTAGCCTCAGCTTCCTCATCTGTAAAATGAGGCTACCTAGCTCATAATGTGGATGAAGCGTGTCTAATCCATAATATACGGCGTCCAGTTCATGTGAATTCATCTTCTTAGTTCAAGCAACTCCAAAAACGTTTAGAAATTTCAATTTACATTAAAATCTAATCTCAAACACAATTTATACCACTTATTAAGCTCAACTTTATAGGCAACAGAAAGTCAAGAGAGGTTTTAAGCACAGGGTTATGTCACTCTTTTTTTTTTTTTTAAAGGAGGTTGTACAACACAAAGAATGGACTGTAGGGGAGAAGAGACAAGTCAGGCAAGGTTTAGTTGATAGATTTGGGAACAAACATTTCTCAAAACCAGGCTCCCTGTTACTATTTTCTTTTGCATAAGCTCTCGGGGCACTAGACCGCTGTCTCAAACATTGCAAACACCGCCATTGCCATAATGGGCTAAGTCTGCCGTACAGACAGGATCAGAGGAGACACAGAAATTTGAAGTCAAATTCGTTTCTTAAGGTTTTTGCTCAGCTGTTTTCGAACCTTCAATACTCACATTCTTAGCATAAAGAGAATACTCATCTGACCGGACACATTTGTAGTCCTTGTCCATGAAATACAGTCCTTCTCTTCGCGCTTGCAGAGGGTTCTTGGCGAATCCACTCACAAGTGTCCGGACGTCACTGGGCATCACCTGCAGAGGTTAAATAGACTGGGAGTCAGCAAACTATGGCAGGTTGGCCACAGTTGGCCCACCTTCTGTTTTTGTATTCCTGCAAGCTAAAAATGGTTTTTTATGGTTTTAAGTTATGTGTAGGGGTGGGGGTGGGGTGGGAAGGGGAATCAAAAGAATACTCTTTTGTGATGGGTAAAAGTTACGTGAAAATAAAATTTCAGTGTCCATAAATAAAGTTTTATTGGAATATAGTCACACACGTTCTTTCACATATTGTCTCTGGCTGCTTCCCATGACAACTGCAGCGGAGTGTGTAGTTGCGACACAAATCACACGGCCTGGAAACCTAAAATGTTTACTATGGCTCTTCATAGGAAGTTTGTTTAAAACTCTTACACCCAAACTTGTGTGTTTTTTTAAACTCTATCCCCAAACTTGTTTTTCTTACATTAAACCCTGGTGATGCTATACACAGGTTCCGCTCCTGGAGTTGGATGAGGGCCGCGCTGTCCACATGCTTGGTGCCCAGGAGGGAATCTAACAGTAAGTTCTGCAAATGGCTCATGCTCACTCAGCTCTGGCTAGCTTTAAATAGATAGCCTGTGAACACAAATCTCCCTAAGTTATTCTGGACAGTTTTAGCACCAGTATGTGTTCTCTGAAAAGATGAAGAGTGAGTCCCGGCCGGGTAGCTCAATGGGTTAGAGCATCGTCCCTATAGCCAAGGTGGTGGGATTCCATACAGGAAGACAACCAATGAATGCATAAAAAGTGGAACAAGTCCATCTCTCTCTCTCTCTCTCTCTCTCTCTCTCTCTCTCTCTCTCTCTCTCTCCCCCCTCCCCCATCCCTCTCTCAAATCAATAAATAATATTTTTTATTTTAAAAATGAAAAGATGAAGAGTGAAAGTGGCAGTCCATCGTCTAGTGTCCGCCCAAACTCCAAGAGGAAAATAGAATCACAGAATCGTAGGAAATCACCGTTCACACAGAGCAGGTGATGCAGTGGGCTTAGGAAATCAGAGTTCGTAGTTCTCTAGCTATGTCAGTGGTTCCCATCAGAATCATCTGGGATCAAGACACAAAAGCAAGCACCTGCTGGGCCGGGAACCACTGAACCAGGCAAACAAGGCTAAAGGATCTGCGGGTCCTGAGTCCTCGCATTCCCTTCCCGCTGACCAGCACCAGGACACCTTTAAGGTACTTAAATCACATTTTCCGCACAAGTCACCAAGTCTTCCTGGTCCTCATCGGGCCAACCTCCACCAACACTCGTCCTTCCGCGGGGCTGAGGATCCCGGGTGGGGGTGGGCGGTAGGGTTCCCGGGACTGAGGGCGATTGAGGGGGGGTTAATACCAGTTGGGGGGGTGGGGGCGGGGGCGCAGGGGGCACAGGGGACGTCGGAAGCGCGTGGGCCAGGCGGGAGCGGGAGCCGCCTGGCTCTGGGGCTCTCGGGGCAGGAGCCCAGCGCTCGGCCTGGGCTGGTGTGCGGAGCGACCCCCGTCCTCGGATGCAGGGCAGGCGGGGCCGCCACGTGCCAGCTCTTGGCTGCGACAGCGGCCGGTCGCCCAGAAGCGCTCCGACTCGGGTCGCAAACCAGGACCAGCCCACCCGCCCAGCCCACCCGTGTCCGCAGGGCGGGCTCCAGGTTTCTCCCCGCGCGACGGGGCCGCGGGACCGCAGCTGCTCGGGGCAGGGGAGGCAGCGGCGGGTCTCCCGAGCCGCGACCGCGGAGCCCTATCCCCCATCCGCCTCCGCGCGCGACTGTCGTTGTCCTGGCGACCGGACGCGGGACGCCAAACGCGCCTCCCTTCGGAGACCACGGGCCGGCGGGCGGGACCCCGCGCGGGGCCGGGGCGCTGGAGGTCCCGCCGGGCCCGGGAGGCGGGTGATGTGCCCGGTGCCAGGCGGCCGGAAGCCCCACGCACCTGCTGACGGGCTGGGAGGAAGGGGCGCTGGAGGTGATGGCGCAAGCCCTAAGGAGAGCCTCTCCCTTACATACGCTCCTGGGCGGGGCCCGGGGGCTGGGGACAAGGCCATTTTGTCTGAAAGCCCCCCTTTCTCCAAGCAGCCCTGCCGGTGTGGGCTTCAGTAGCCAGAAAGCTGCAACTCGCGGCCATCGGCCAGGAAATTGCTGCAGTGACTCCTGGAAGCCAGGCCGGTGACTGCCACACTGTCTCCAAAGGACTCTGTTGTAGGGGGACGGGAAGCCTGGAATTCGGGGGAGGTGGGTCGGCGCAGGGAGCTGCGGAAGGGAGCCTGGTCCTGAAGAGTTCTCAGAAGCCATGGTGGAGGCCCTGGTGAGGGACGGTGTGGATGGCTGGCTCACGTTCAGAATCCGCCACACGTCTGTCCGTGGTCACAAGTATTGCTTATTCGTTAAACCAGAGCGTAAGATGGAGGTGAGTCCTCATTACTAAATAAGCTGACGTGTTAGTTCTTCTAGGGGCTCCGTTATTTGGGACCACCATTTAGACAATGATGAGCTGATAACTGACAAAGCTCTCCCCAGCTCAAGATCTCAAAAGGATGGTTGGAGCCACAGCCACCTCCTTTCATGGCGGGACGGTGGTGTGGCCTCTGTGGAGTTGGTTCTTGGGTAGTGGCATTGAGAACTGGCTTGTGTGAAATACAATACTTTTCAATGTTTTGTTTCATTCCGCTCTTTATCAGTCCCTCCATTCTACTCACTTTGTGTTTACTCTGCTATTCATTTTCTAGCTTCTTATTTTATGTATTGAGAAATATATTTTTATTTCAGAGAAGGGAGAGGGGGAGAGATAAGACACAACAATGATGAGAGAGAATCATTGTTGGGCTGCCTCCTGCACGCCCCACACTGGGATTCGAGCCCCCACCCCGGGCATGAGCCCTGACTGGGAATCGAATCATGACCCTCTGGTTCATAGATAAAAGCTCCACCACTGAGCCACACCGGCTGGGTCACTTTCTAGCTTTTTAAATTATAGCCACAAAACCAGCACCCTGCATAACAAATTGTTCTCATACATAAATCAATTCCTTCCCCCTGTCCTCTCTCCTATAAGGAAGACAGGATTCTAATTTATTTCTCATTCCTTGGATAAACTAATTTTTTCTTGTTATAAAAGAAATAATTCTAATTGTTGGGAGCCATTAGAGATATTGGCCTAGACAAAGCCATCTTAAGAACAATAAGTTTCTGGTAGAAACTCCTAGTTACCAGAAACCACGTGTGTCCTGCGATTTGGCCAGCAGCTAAAGATAACCATCCTATACCCTGAAGCAACTACCACCACAACCGGAGCCTGCTACAACCCTGCTGATAAGCTAATAGGCTTCTCCACCCCACCCCCCCTCCGTCCCTAAAACAATATATGTTCTGCCGCTGTAAGAATAAAATTTGAGGCTTGATCAGAATCCTGTCTTGCCTCCATTTCTTCGCATCTCCTATCCTCTCATTCCCTTACAGGAATCGTCACGGTACCCACGTTGCATGCCCCGCGGGTCGGGGCATCTAATTTGGTGCCTTGGAACCAGCCAAAAAATAGATCTGAATCACAGAGTAGAGATGATGGAGTGAAGTTCTTTCTGCTCACCTCACGCCACAAATTAAGCTGCAGTCGCTTAAATTCCCAGCAACAGTGAATTAAGCAACTGTGCCTAACGGACCCTCCATTCCGGCATTGGGCAGGATGGGGGTCTATGAATGAAAAGCACTCAGTCCCTCGCTCCCAGCGCCGACCTGTGTGAGGGGGCTGCCTCCTGCGTGTCCCTGCGGTCCCTCATGTTCCGGCTCCTACTCTAGTATCATCGGAGAGGTGCCCCAAGGTGGTGACAGTTCGTATTTCTCTGCTCCTTTGACAATGGGTGGGGGTATGGGTGATAAAGCCGAAGGAATTGCTATTAACAAATAACATTAAAATGTTCTCAAGTGAGACCGTGCATAGTCAGAGGCTGATTTCCAAGACACATCTGTGAGGGTGGATATTATTTTTCTTTTAATTTGGTGTCATTTTGTCTGGCATTTCCCATCCCCATGGCCCAGTAACGGTTTTACTCACAAAGTGACCCAGTGCATAGCGTAGGGGTCTTGTGAAGGGGAAGCAGAGGCGCACAAACCACAGAAGAGTGGAAAGCTCTGGTGAGCTCGTTAAATATGCCGTTCTCTATAGATGCCTCAAATGCGGTGGGGTCCAGCAGAAAGTTCTGCTCTCTCCCCAGCAAATTCTGTTATTCTGAGCTCCTGCAGAAGGCAGAGACTTCCTGACTCCTCTCTCTCTCTCATTTCTGCCCACCTCCAGCCATGTCGGGCAGCCTGTAGAACAAGTCACATCACACAGTAGGGTCAGTGGGAATAAGGGCAGAGAAGGGATCATACGCATGCACAGGTGTTAATTTCCATGACCTAGTGTGATTTGGCACCAAATCATCCCACATGTCATAGAAGGCGAGGTGTTTGGGGGGTGAGGGGGGGTGGGCCTTCATGGAGCAATTCCCTGTGGAGGCCTGTTACCCATACCCGTGCCCTCCCCCCCAATGACTGGAACAGAACCTCTCCCTTTAGTCCTCCGAATGTTGGATGAATTAAGAGAAGCCCAGGTCCCTTAAGAGCAGGGTGTCACAGCTTGATTATATCACAGGGCCGTGGATTTGGTCACAGTATCTCCACATTTATCATCTGAACTGGGAGGACTGGTGGGCCACGGGCAGGCACAGGCTGGCAGCCCTCCCCTCCCCACCACCCCCCCCCCCCCGACACACTCAGTTAAATGGCACAAAACCAAGCCTACCCTCTTGGTCTCCTGGGGGCACTGAGGTTCCCTGGGCCTGTGCACCACCTGGAACTCCATGTGAATTAGCACCACCCTCCTGCCAGCCACGCCCAGGGCTGAGAGCTCTTATGTTTACCTTTCAGACCAGAAATTTAGTCTTTAACATAGGAAAGGGGGGGTGGGGGACCGAAAACACAAAAGGAAAATAGGTTTATTTGCAAAAATGAATTTGTTCATAGAACTAAAATCCAGGGCAGGGTTCCATAAGTCTGCAAGGCTGGGGCTTTGGAGCTCTGGCTTCTTTCGCTTGACTTCTGTGTCGATTCAAATTCAGTTTTCTTCCTCCAAATTTCGGATAAAGCTAGCGACATGCTGCCCTTACTGGTCAGGTTCCAGAGTCTGTCTGCCCACCCCTTTGCTGAGAGTTTTTATCGTAAATGGGTGCTGGATTTTATCGAATGTTTTTCTGCATCTATTGATATGATCATGTGATTTTTATCCTAATCATTATGACTATGTAGTGTATCACAATTATTTATTTGTGAATATTGTACCAATCTTGCAGCCCCAGAATAAATTCCACTTGGTCATGGTGTATGATCTTTCTAATGTGTTGCTGGATCCAGTTTGCTATATTTTGTCGAGGGTTTTTAGCATCTGTGTTCATCAGGGATACTGGCCTATAATTTTCTTTCTTTGTCCTGTCTTTATCTGGTTATGGAATAAGATAAATGCTGGCCTTATAAAATGAGCTTGGGAGTCTTCACTCTTCATGAATTTTTTGAAATAGCTTGAGGAGGATGAGTGTTA